CACTCCACTGAATACTACCTTAAGGTTTTTTACCAGAGAGTTTTCATCACCTTGTTTTCTGCAAGTCACTAGTCTATAACTATTAGAGAGTGTGGGTTGCAAAACCAAGAGGAATTAAATTGAACTGATTACCATGCAAGTAATCTATACATTTTAATGAGTGCTGCTTTTGTGTCCTCCTATGTGCCTTGTGTAGCCCTGTTCTCATGTTTTTAACTGCAAGACCACCATACACTCAAAAATATTATTAAAAGCACAGTTCAAAAATCAGCTAAGACATCAGTTATTCAAGAGCCACTAATAAAAACACTGATTTAGTAATACCAAACTCATCCATCTGATGTATGAAAGTAACACTACAGATCAGAGTTTGAAGCATTGCCATCCATGACGCTTTCCCCAAACATAATTCAGTTGATTGTGAGATTTTATTCAAAGTATTCTCTAAATATTTTTAAAGTATTTCTGTTTTGCTAGCTATCCTCATCACTAGATTTATCTTCTCCTGCAAGCTTGCTTTGTACTTCATGAAAATACTTTTTAAAGCCAGTATCTAAAATGTTCAATGCATACAATCATAGAACAGTTAGGGTTGGAAAGGACCTTAAGATCATCTAGTTTCAGCCCTCCTGCAATGGCCAGGGACACCTTGCACTAAACCAAGTCACCCAAGGCACTGTCCAACTCAGCCTTGAACACCGCCAAGGATGGAGCATTCACAACTTCCCTGGACAACCCTTTCCAGGGCCTCACCACTCTCACAGTAAAGAACTTCTTCCTTATATCCAATCTAAACTTCCCCTGTTCAAGTTTTAACCCATTACCCCTTGTCCTATCACTACAGTCCCTAATGAAGAGTCCCTTCCCAGCATCCCTATAGGCCCCCTTCAGATACTAGAAGCCTGCTATGATGTCTCCACGCAGCCTTCTCTTCTCCAGGCTGAACAGCCCCAGCTTTCTCAGCTGACCTTCATACGGGAGGTGCTCCAGTCCCCTGATCATCTTCGCGGCCCTCCTCTGGACTTGTTCCAACAGCTACATGTCCTTTTTATGTTGAGGACACCAGAACTGTACACAATACTCTAAGTGAGGTCTCATGAGAGCAGAGTAGAGGGGCAGGATCACCTCCTTCAACCTGCTGGTCACGCTCCTTTTGATGCAGCCCAGGATACGGTTGGCTTTCTGGGCTGCAAGCACACACTGCAGCCAGCTCATGTTTAGCTTCTCATGGACCAACACCCCCAAGTCCTTCCCTGCAGGGCTGCTCTGAATCTCTTCTCTGTCCAGACTGTTGCTGTGTCTGGGATTGCCCTGACCCAGGTGTAGGACCTTGCACTTGGCAAGGTTAAACTTCATAAGGTTGGCATCAGCCCACCTCACAAGCGTGTCAAGGTCCCTCTAGATGGCATTCCTTCCCTCCAGCGTATCAACCGAACCACACAGCTTGGTGTCATCAGCAAACTTGCTGAGGGCACACTCAATCCCACTGTCCATGTCACCGACAAAGATGATGAACCAAGAGACCTGTCCCAACACCTGTTCCTGAGGGACACCACTCATTACAGGTCTCCAGATGGACACTGAGCTGTCGACCCCAACTCTCTGCATGCAGCCATCCAGCCAGTCTTTACCCACTGAGTGAGCCATCTATTAAATTGATGTCTCTCCAGTCTAGAGACAAGGATGTTGTGTGGGACAGTGTCGAATGCTTTACACAAGTCCAGGTAGATGATATCAACTGCTCTACCCCTGTCCATCAGTTCTGTAGTCCCATCATAGAAGGCGACGAAATTGGTCAGGCAGGATTTCCCCTCAGTGAAGCCATGCTGGCTGTCACCAAGCACCTTGCTGTTTTGAATTTGCCTAAGCATGCGTTCCAGGAGAATCTGCTCCAAGATTTGCCAGGCACAGAGGTGAGACTGACTGGTCTGTAAGTCCCTCGGTCTTCCATTTTCCCCTTCTTGAAAGTGGGGGTTACACTTCTTTTTTTCCAGTCATTGGGAACTTCACCTGACTGCTATGATTTTTCAAATAGGATGGACAGTGGCTTGGCAACTTCATTCGCCAGCTGCTTCAAGACCCACAGATGGATTTCATCAGGTCCCATCATGGACTTGTGCACGTTCAGGTTCTTAAGATGGTCTTGAACCTAATCCTCTCCTACAGTAGGCCTAAGGTCTTCATTCTCACAGTCCCTGCATCTGCTTTCCAAGACTTGGGTGCTGTGGTCAGAACATTTGCCAGTGAAGACTGAGGTAAAGAAGTCATTAAGAACCTCAGCCTTCTCCAAATCCAGCATCATAATTTATTTCCAAGTATTTCATTTTACATAAATTAAAGTCAAATTAGTTATAAGGTACACTATTGCAATTTACCATGAAGTATAAAACCAATAAATAAATCCACATAACAGTTAACCAGAGTTATATTTTCAATAATATCAGTATCTCCTTGAAAGGGAAGTACATTATAATAAAGCATTCTACGATTTAATGAAGAAAAAAAAATAATTAATTATGAAGGTATATGCTGTTCTCATCTCTTATTTCCAGCGCTAGACCTTAATATTAGTGGTTTTAAAAACACCTCCCATTCAAGTGAATTAACATGTCAGTGAAAATAATGAATATGTATGTGATGAAGCTAACAGTGCTTTTAATATGTAAGAACATTTTAATGTTCTCATTTCTGAAGATGAATTGAGAGGTAATGATGACTGTAATCTCTCATCTATATCAAGATATTATCAGTTCTCAGTTAAGCAAATGCAGTCCAGTTCAGACCTTTGAGAACGCTTGTGTCAAAGTTTTACTGCCATCTACATATACGTTATGAAACAATTTATCTCACATTTCTCTGTAGCCTAGTACCAAGGACATTTAAAAAAAAAAAAAAAATATGAAAAAAAGAAAGCCTCTCCCTGATTCTACCTAGTTTGATCAAATGAGTTGCCTACTCAACGTGAGTGTGAAGTAGGGTCCAGAATTATAAGACCAGAAAATTCAAAGCAGCAGGGTGATTTCTTTCTATTAGGCCAGTGAACACAGCTGCACCTACAGGTCTAAAACTGTAAAATTACAGAAGGCATATGCAATCCTGACTAAACCCTAGTATTTGTATTCAAGCTTAATTATCCTTGTAATCTATTTTTTCCATTTTATTAACACATTCTGCAGGTTTTTCATTCTTTACCCTGCCCTAGATCCAAACTTTATCTTTCTCCTGTCACTCTTCATACATAAACAGTATATGGTCACAGCTCCCATTTCACTGAGGTAGTAAACATGAGAAATACTTATATTATGCATGAAAATGGAACTGACCCCAGCCATTAGGGTTTACTGAAACCCAAGGATCTTTATTCCATTATTAAGCCTGCCAGAAAAACATATGCAGCAAGTTAACACAAACCATTTCATGCGCAAGTTCTATTTATAAAGTAAGTTTTCCACCCTAGCTACCCAGCGTAATATATATTTTGTCATCATAGATACAAGTACTGCTTTCTCTCAAACAATGAAATGAAAAACAAGAGATGGCATCTTTCTCTACCACATAATACAGATGACCAAGTTTTATAACTCAAAAATTGCCAAGTTAGGGAAAGAACTTAATGTACATTTGATTCAACTATGTACAACTAAAATAATCAACCACAAAAACATGTCCCTGAAAGTTACCAAGGTTATTCTTTCAGGAAAAGTAGAAAACAAGTTATTTTTAAATTGAAATTCAAGAGATTATTGAGGTTAAAAAATATAATATCCAAACAAAACCAAAAATCAACACAACAAAACAAAACAAAAAACAGCTCAATTCATGTTTATTGCTCAATTTATTTGCCTTTACCTGCTTGTAAAAAGAACAAAGAAAACCAAAATTGTCTCTTCCTATGTAACAAATTTAAATAAAATGGGAACTACATCATGCTTTAAAGAAGGCTTTACATTAAATACAGTGTTCACAACCTTCAGCCATACAATACATCTGAAAAAATATTCATCCCAATTCTCTATGCAGCAGCATTTATAATTTAGCACCTCTGGTTCAAATATCATCACATTACCTCACTGAGTTACTTTCAGATTGCTGAATGTTTTGAAAAAATTACTTTAGGGACACAGCAATAGCTCAAAATAAAACTAGTTTTGGAATCACAAATCCTCTTGCCTCCCTTCCTCATTCTATAATCAAAACCAGAGCGAAAAAAAAGCTGTCTTTTTAAAATTGAAACCATTAATAACAATGTTGGCTAACTGAATGGGTGCCAAGCTGAGATAAACTGACATCTGAAAACAAAACAGACCCATTTTGGCTTTTATGCTACAACACATATATTAGAAGAATTAGAGGGCTACAGTCTTAATAATCTGCACAAGAGATAACAACTTTACCAAAAGTACTTCTGAGATGCAATAAAGGAGGTGACATCTGTTATTTTTCGATAAGTATTTAAAATTAGAATTATTTTAAAATAAAACAAACATATGTGTTATAAAACAGTTTTACCAAAATGCAGTACTCTTCAGCTATTTCTACTTTCTTTTAGCTCTTAGGAAAATATACTGTTACATTTTGCAAAAAAAATCTGTTTCTAATACATGTCCGTATTTAAGTATTTCACAACATTAGATGAAAAGCTACTTACTTTTCATTGCTAATCAGATCATCTCAGAAAACGAAAAGTAACTTCCTGTGTAAGCTTTTTTAAAAATAACAACGGTACAAATAGTGTACCTATGTCTCTATTTTATATTCCAGTCAATATTCCCAGTAATCATATAATTCCAAGTTTCACCTAACACCTAACACCAAACAAAGCAAGATAAACAGGTGTAAAATCAAGAGATATTCTCACTCTTCAGAAGCAGAAGAGTGAAGAAACTAGAAACACAGGGTCAACAACTACTGGAGAAACCATCACTGCATAACAAAAGTAACAAATAGTAGTAAAGACTATGATTTCTCCATTAATAGGAAGTTAGTTACTTTTATCATACCTTTATCTGCTGTCTTCTAAGCATTGCAAGTTCCCTCATATCACGGAATGGCTGTAGTAAGTACTGGTAAAGCTCTGTGGTGGCTTCTGCAAGACTACCATAGGCTTCATCTTCCATTTGATACAGTTCAAGCAGCTCTACCATGCTTTCAGTGTTCTTATGTCTTTCCAGAAGCTGTAGAAAAAGTGTCAATTTTAATTAATGTATTAAAACATTCTTGCTAAAAGTGACTCATTTAAAAAGCCTTTTTTTTTGCCTATCCTCTTGCAGTATATTCCCTCTCCGACAAAATCAGCAAACAAACAAAATCTTAACCCCCACCCACATTTTGAGCTTAGCTAGTCAAGTATGAGCACATCTCTGATAAGCTGAACTCAAGGTGTGCAGCACCCCTTTTGGTCTTTTAATTCAAAAAAAATCCCTGGGAAGTATTAAATACAAGTACAAGGACAGCTCAAAAGCAACCCAGTACTAGAAGATGGTAACGTGGTAATCAGATATGCCCCTTCCCATGTTTCCCACTTTCAGGTGTTAGGGGGTAAACAGAGGAAGGAGTGATAGGAAAGGAGATATAAGCAATGTCACCTTTTGATAATTTTTGGGTTTTGGGGGCTTTTTGCCTGTCTGTACTTTGGACCAACACAGTCCCATTGCATAGGTACAGCTTCACACATATAGAGAAGAATCTATATGAAACAAAACAGTGATCTGCATTTCTAGTAATTTTGCCTTCTGGTTTACGATTTTAGCCTAGACAGTTTAGACATTAAATTTCAAATGAGATTATTATCTAAGGAAATTATCTAAGTATGATACACTAAAAAAATCCCCAAACAAAAACCCCCTTAAAATAGTTTATGCTTTAATTCATATAAGAAAACACAACATCAATCAAAATCTGTCCGTTCCTTCCATTAGTTCTTATGAAGCAAAAAATTTCATCTATCTATGCAAATTTGCTACACTGTATGTTTTTAATTTAGATGCTTTTTTTGCATCTACTTGGGGCATTTGCCTGGGCAGACCTCACATGCTGCTGGAAATCTTTTACCATTTCTGAAAAAATATTTAACCATTTAACAAAAACTAATCTCATACAGAATTATGGAGTACTTGATGAATTTACAAAGACAAATTTATATGAAATTAATTCTCTTCTTATGCAATCTTCAAACTTAAAGTCTCTTGTCCTTTATATATAAAAAAAGCATGTATTTCACAGTCCAAATTTATTTAAACCTAACATAGATTAGGTACAATGTGGAAAAGCACAAAGTATCTTCTATCTGTTCATTCAAGTTGGATGCCAAGCCTACATGAAGTTCTTAGTATACCCATCTGCATCAAGTATCATAAGTGGAAAACAAAAAAAAGGGAACAGCTGATCAGAAATTGAAGCTTTGGTCAACAGTCCTTTGACATCTGGTTCATTTATACCCCAGGACAGTCAACAGAAATCTTGATTACCATACTGTCTACTCAGTTTGCTCCATTACATTTATATTACTATGTTGTAGGTTCAGTTACATAACGACGTAAGAAAATTTTTTTCTTTGTAATGTAAATTTCACTTCTGAAGACCCCTGTTAACCTGGGCTCCTTCTGAAGCATTACAGGTCAACCAAGATTAGAGAGAGAGTATGCATATAGTAGAACAGCTTGTGCTAGCTTTATTTATATGTTCAGCACTAAAATAATGGTCAGATGACAAGCCAGGAAGAGCTCTCCATCAACAAGGCTTAGTCAAGATGAAAGGTCTGGGAAAAATGTGTAAAACAGATCTGACATTCCTCAGTAGCATGAGAACATTTGCTGTATTACCTGAACAGCTTCACCTAGGAAATTGTTCCTACTGCAAAGTCGTTTGTAATGCCCTTTTGCTGTCTTCCAGGAGCACACAGTATTCTGTGGCATTTGATTCTCACTCAGATTATTGGGTGGCACACTGAGGCTTGCAGTCTGTAAAACTAACATTTTATGAACATACAGGGCTAAACACACATAACAACTTGCAAGCAGAGGGACAGAAGTCACTCAAGATGTCCTTTGTGTGAGCCCTAAATCCGTACGGATTTCATGCATCATTCCAGTTCATTTGCTGTTTTAAACACACAGGCACCTTTTTCCTCAGCAATTCTTTCTTGTTACTAGTTCCTATAAACAGAGTTGCCATTTCAAAGCCTTCTACTTTCACCTGCAGTACCAGAAAACCCTCTTGCAGTCCCAATGTTGTAATCATCCCTCTGTCAAGGCACTGAAAAACCAAACCTTTCTTCTCGAGGCACCCAATGCAAGAAGGGTCTCTATTATTAGCAGCAGCTGTACAGTACACAGTAATGTTCATTTCCTTTAGCTGTTCAGGCTACTACTATATTATTCAGCAAATTCACACCTTTGTTTTATCACGAAGCCCTACTCTTCTACTGGGATACAAATTCTAGAGGGCAACAAAAGAATCAGAATCACAGAATGGTTACAATTCAAAAGAACCTTAAGATCATTTAGTTCCAACCCCCCTGCCATGGGCAGGGACACCTCACACTAAACAATGTCACCCAAGGCTCTGTGCAACTTGGCCTTGAACACTGCCACAGGTGGAGCATTTACCACTTCTTTGGGCAACCTGTTTCAGAGCCTCACTACTCTCACAGTAAAGAACTTCATCCTTACACCTAACCTGAACTTTCCCTATTTAAGTTTAAACCCACTGCCCTTGTCCTATCACTACCGTCCCTAACGAAGAGTCCCTCTCCAGCATCCTCGTAGGCTCCCTTCAGATACTGGAAGGCTGCTATGAGGTCTCCAAGCAGCCTTCTTTTCTCTAGGCTGAACAGTCTCAACTTTCTCAACCTGTTTTCCTGTGGGAAATGTTCCACTCCCCTTATCATCCTCATGGTCCTCCTCTAGACTTGCTCCAACAGCTCTATATCCTTTTCATGAGGACATCAGAGCTGGATGCAGTACTCCACGCTGCGTTTCATGAGAGCAGAGATATGATTCCCATGAGCTGACTTCAGAGTGAAATTGGTTATATTATTTTTTCTTCCCACCAAATGTTCACCTTTGTTTTCATAAAAGAACATTTTCTCATTAGCAGAGCGTGTATTTGGCCTGTGTCCCGACACTGCAAACCTTACACAAAGAAGGGTTTCAAGAGTAGCACTGTAATACCTGCTAAATGAATGTATTCATTGTATGCAAATATTATTTTATTGAGACAGCTATTAGTAGAAGGACAGGATCACCTCCTTCGACCTGCTGGTCATGCTCCTGTTGATGCAGCCCAGGATACACCTGGTTTCTGGGCTGCCGGCTCATGTTCAGTTTCTCACCAGCTAACACCCCCAAGTCGTTTTCCACAAGGTTGCTCTGAATCTCTTCTCTGCCCAACCTGTAGCTCTGCCTGGGATTGTCCCGACCCAGGTGTAGGACTTTGCACTTCACTTCGTTCAACTTCACGAGGTTCACACTGGCCCACCTCTCAAGCGTGTCAAGAAGAAACCTATTAATCTCATTCCAGGAACAGAACAATACAATGCATGGCATTCTTTTTCCTTTACAGGCCATTTTTAAGGCCTGTTTAACAGTCCTGATTCTCTGGAAGATAGTCACAACTTTGTGGAAGTTGGAGTTGAAGTGCCAGGAAATGAAGGACCGCTGCAATTTTATGACCATCATTATAGCACAAAGACATCTCAATGACACTGAAAGCAAGTATGTACTTATAATTTGTTGGTTGTTCCACAAAAATCCTCTCCATCGCTGGAAACAGTATGGATAAAGTAATGAAATATCATTACATTCATGCACATACAGAAGATAAGTAAATGGGCACTATTTCAGGGTTGTCCATGTCTGGTTCTATTCGGTGTGCTGCTGAGGTTACCCCAAACCTCACAGTACTCAACTCCTGCAGAAATACCAAACTCAAAAAAAATTAAAACACCCAACACAATTGAGGGCAGGTCCTTCACACAGAATATACATATTCTTAAATTATTAACACAAGATAAGCACCCATTCTTTCTTCCTATGGTAATGAAGGTAATGATGCACACAGAATCCATTTCCTGTGACTAATGAGGACTTCTTTGCATGAAAAGAGTGGTGAAATTTCAGTCAAACTACAGTTGCCAAAAAATACATAACAAAATATGAAAACTGATTTGGAAAACAAAGAGTATCACCTTATTTGGTTTAGAACAAAGACCAAAGAGCTATTGACTAGGAATGCTCTTCAAAACAGGTAGCAAGTTTACTAACCTGCAAGCACTGGTTACATACAACCTCATTATACCCATCAATCTATTAACATGTTCTTCTACAGGCTTATTCAGACATGGATGAGAAATATCCAAATATTAAACTTTTCTAAAAATTTTGCAAATGAGCTCAAACACACCTTGGAATTCTTTTGTCCTGTCAGATTAACACCATAAAACTGGTACCTCAAATTTCACTCAGGTGGAGTTAAATGAAAGAAAGAAGAAAAGAGGAAGTGTGAAAAAATACAGGTTTGGGGAAAAAAAACAACAAACACACAGAGAAATCATGATATGCATTTGAAATCATTCTTACGGTATGTGCCAGGTGGCAAGAAGGCTTAATGGCATCCTGGTTTACGTCAGAAGTAGTGTGGCCAGAAGGATCATCCCACTGTACTTAGCACTGGTGAGGCTGCACCTTGAATCCTGCACTCAGTTCTGGGCCCCTCACTCCAAAACAGACACAGATGTGCTGGAGTGTGTCCAAAGAAAGGGCAACGAAGCTGCTGAAGGGTCTGGAGCACGTGTCTTATGAGGAACTGGGGGGGGTTTAGTCTGGACAAAAGGAAGCTGAGGGGAGGCATTATTGTTCTCTACAACTACCTGAAACAATGTTGTACAATGGCGGGTGTTGGGCTCTCTTCCCAAATAACAAGTAATAGGACAATAGGAAAGGGCCTCAGTTAGCCTCAGGAAAGGTTTGGATTGGATATTAGGAAAAAATTCTTCACCAAAAGGGCTGTCAAGCATTGGAGCATACTGGACAGGGAAGTGGTTGAGTGATCACCCATGAGGGTACTTAGAAGATGTGTAGATGTGGCACCTGGGGACATGGTTTAGTGCTGGACTTGGCAGTGTTACATTAATGGTTGGACTCAATGATCTTTAGGGTCTTTTCCTACCTAAATG